CCAAAAACCAACATTATACATCTAAAGAAAGATTACTACCTGGTATGTATTGGGAAAGTTGCGAAATATTAGTATATGGAGGAATTCAATCATCTGTTCTCTGTACACAAACTTTTGTAGTTCCTTACTTTTACAGGCAAAATAATCAAAACAATAAGGATAATCAGTGACATATTCAGGTGAATGTTATGTTAAATGAGGTAAATAAAGGGTGGTTAAGACTTGCTCAGTGCCTACTGATGAGATTCCTCGTAGTAATAATATAGCAGAGCATACAAAGTTGTTATAAAGCAGACAAAACCATGAAACTGGCTACAAAATAACGAAATCCATTGAAGTGTCTTAAGTATTTAATAATCAACTTTATTTGGTTTACTTTTCCCATTCAAGAGCTTTTCATTTATAATACAATGAATACCAATCAGTCAACTCTAACGTTAAAATAGTGAATATTCAATTTATCCCTCTAATAACCATACAATGATTTAAATTTTAAATTTGGATTCCAAATACTTCAGACCATCAATATTCAAAAGACTTTCTACAGTGTTTCTCTAACTCTGTGATGTCTACACCAGATACATCTTTTTAAATTTTCACCATAGAAACCACAATTATACACCGTACCAATAGATTGATACTGAAAATACATTTGAAAGAATTCTCCAAAAAGAATCTCATACAAATTATCCCCCTAAGGTTTCAGAAGACAGAATGGTAAAATCATTTTATAGAAGTGTAACTTCAATTCCGCTTTTCTTTTATGTAAAAAGTCTTGGATGCAGAGATAATACCTAAACTGGGAAGGTATTTTATCTATAACGATATCAACAGGACTGACAGTCTATAAAACACCAATATCATAATATGGTAAAGGTAAAAACTGGTAACAATATGATTAGATAGTACAAATAGTTTATATATACCCACCATTTCACACGTAACATATGGAAGTGGAATTATGTTGATTTGAACATGTTTTGATACACATTTTGGTGCTTCTGTACAGGGTGATCATTTCTATGATCAATATACTATGTTATATATACTAGTGACACAGACATTTACATACAGGGCAACAACAGGAAAAGATAAAATATCACAGTTAGCTATTGACAGAAACGTAAAATCTCTCTACGCAAACCTAGTTATGGTTCAACAGACTTCTATAACTTATTAACTAGTTTCTGTATTACAACCTTGGCTTTGGTGCGGAAGTACTTCTTCAAGTGACAATAAACATGTCTGAACTGTTTATATCTATATACAATGTACAAACAAACACAACAAGGACTTGTGTGTTGTTGGTTCCATTTTTTCTACAATGTTAAATATTACTTTCCACTGAGTGTGAAGATTGAAAACTTGCATAATAATCATAGCTCCAATCCTCTTCAGAACTTATATCATGCCTTCATCATTATGATTCTACTAAATCACTGCTAAAAGTCTGTACAAAGATACAATTCATCACAACATAATTTCTTACTACATTGGATTTTGATGACATGTGTTATAGAATTTGGCATGTCTGGCACAACTCAGACAAGACCCCTATCTCTCCTACAGCTGGTAAAGTTCATCCTAATATTGTCCTAAGACTCCTATGCAACACATTTCATGACAGAGGGATCCTAGATGCAGACAAGTTTTCCATTACTTGTCTAAAAATGTACCAATTATGAATATTGTCCTAAGACTCCTATACAACACAGTCCATGACAAAAGGACTCTAGACTTGGACAAGTTCTAAACTACTTGTCTAAAAACATACCAATTACATAAACCATGACCTCGAAATCATTGTACTTTGTCTTGTTGGCATTATCAAATTTATAGCAATTGTCTACTTATAAATTTGATAATTCTGATACAATTTTCTTCTTTCAGTGAATACCATTCAAAGACAGCACATCAAAAAAAAGTGTCCCAACATTTTACAGCATAGCAAGCAAACACTGAAGCTGTGGTGTGCTGATAATAAATAGAATTCTGGCCGACCTTTATGAACTAATCTGTAGTGTGAGCACAACTCAAGTATGATCTTCAATATTGTTATCTGATAAACAAACAAAACTGCATCAGACAGATTATAAACACAAGATTTTTTTTTTAGAAAATCTTTTTGAAATATTTATGTTTAATTAAGTCAAATCTCATAGCGTAATTAATTTTGGTACTAAATTTAGAAGTACCATTGATTAGCTAAGACTACAAGCTCCGGTAATGTGGAGTATATGCGAGTCCCACATTTACCAGTCCAGACAAATGATGTATTGCACATTCAGAAATACCCTGTCGAGGAATGACTTATGGTTAATCACATGACACAAGAGGAATGACTTACACATTGTAGAATATGTTACACTAAATGAAATGATCTATAATATCGTAGAATGTATTTTTTCCTTGATTTTTTTTTATCCATTTATGGTGTGCATGAAAATTTCTTAATCTCACTTAACATTCAAAAACAAAAAAACAATGGCAGATCCTGGATTTTTTTGGAGCCAAAAACATCGTTCCATTGACTTGACAATACAAATACCTGACAAGAAAGAACAATTCCCCCCACAAAAGGCCATCAACCCAACTGGATCTGCCATTTATAAAAAACTACTTTTTCAAATTGATCCACTACAACAGAAATTTCATTCTTAGATACAATTAGTCTATGACATTTTGAGGTAAGCCAAACTTTATCTCATGTATGGACCAATTTTGGCAATTCTTCACCATGCAAGTGAAATTTCCTCTTCCTAAATGGTTTATGATCCTCACAATAAGTATGACGTAGTTTTTCAAAGACACATATTGAATTGACTAAATCCTTGAAAAGTTTTCCTCACGTTATTGCAATAATTGGTTCTGACAAAACATCAACACAAGCATTCTACATAAAGACAGATGTTCACCATCACTATCAAAAGCTGCATGTCCTCAACATAAAGGTTTCATATGAGAAGTCACCAGCTGCTTGTGCCTGAGTGTAAGATTCATTGCCATAACCACATGATGTAGAGTATGGGGTGGTAGGGTGGAGTAGTAGTAATGCTCTCACCTTTCACCAAGACATCTTGGGTTCAATTTTCCAAACACACATGAAAAGGTATGGGGTCACCTGCCTGGCCACATGTTTTCCCCATGTACTCTGTTTCCTCCAACAGCAAGACCTCTCATGCACTTCCATCCAGGCCAACAAGAGTGATTAATTTAAGCTTATAGCTTGTTTCACAATTATTGTAAAATAAATAAGGTCTATATCATACAATGTATATATATAGGCAAAGCTGAAGCCTTTTATTCCAGCTCTGTGTTTGAACTTCATATTGAGGTCTGTGACTTGTGGACATGGCCTTAAGTGTTACTGAAGTCTGTGTTGTCAATGCTTACATTAACTTTAGACAGGACCAATCCCCAGTAAGTACTTCCACAAGTGTTGTCTAAGATCTGATCAAAAGTCAAGACTATTCCTTATGAAAGACATCATGAGGTTCAGAACAGTTTTTAACTGAGAGTTTCACATCAATGTTTCATCAGCATCAGATGGATCAATGTTGTAACTGAAGTATTGTTGACATGGCAAAGATTTATAAAATTTTTAAGATGTCATCTAACACTTGCAGACACAGCCATATGATTTGAAGTTTTGTCCTCTAGCCATGGTAATGGCAATGGTCTCAGATGAATTGTACTTGTAACCTAATAAAAGTACTTGCTGTAAGTAATGGTATCAGATGAATAGGACTTTTGGTCTAATCAAATCAGGCATTAAGATTTGCTGTGAGTAATAGTATCAGAAGCAGCCTGTTGGGCCTTGATGATGTTGAAACACGCTTGGCACACTCGTACTGGCCTGAGGATCCGAAGTCGTCTGATTTCTGTTTCGTACTTACTACATCTGAAAACCAAGCAATGAATGATATTATGTTATTTTTCAAGCAAAATGTTCCTGCCCAGTAATAAGTCCACCCATATCAAATGATGCTCGGTAAAGTTATCTACAAACACTATTTCGTTGTCCTGTAATAAGCCCATCCCTCTGTTGGTTTATCAAAGGATAAATACTTTACAGCACTACATACTCTAAATTCATTAATTCAATAGCCACTATTAATTCGGTCTGATAGCACTTGAAACAATGTGGATCGGATTCCATGGTAAATTCATTCTGTTCCTGATCTTATAACTTCACTTATAAATTATTTTCCATTTATCATTTTTATGATTAATTTATGTTTCATTTTTAATTTTCCTGTTCACAATACATAAACATTTGACCACAGAGTGCATAAGTTTTAACAGGTACATGAGGCTTAATTAATCTCATTCCCTTTAATGTCAGGAGCCTGGAGAAAAGAGTCATATTATTTCTTCTTTTTGAATGAACTTTTGCATATAATTTGGAAAACTGTCTGGCCTCACCCTGAATGCACACCTAGGCCATTTTAAATTCAGACATAAAAAGTTCCAACCTGGAGCAGAAGACCTGTCCACAATTGCGACAGTGGTGTCTGCGTTCTGCGAAGGAAAAGCGAACATTACACGTTGGACAGGTCTCCGCCCCATCATCCTTTATCCAATGGTCAGCTACTACCTTGCCGGGTTGGTCAGTCACTGTCCAGCTGAATATTCGGCCCTTGGCATCACCAACATACACTGTCTTATGGTCTCTAAGAATTTAAAACAAATTTTATGTGGTGAGAACAATTACTCGTTAACGATACAATATTTTTAAGATAAAAAAATCTTTGGAACAGTTTATAATTCTATTTTTTTTTTTAGATAAATCATATGCATTTACATTTACAAAGTAATATATGTGTTAGGTAAGTATGTTACTTTGATAAACCTATAGATTAAAACAAGGGTTCAAATCTCTGAAGTAGATTTCCAAGCCAGCATAGTCTCCTAAAATGCATGCTTACACAATACTGTAGTAATATAACACAACAAGGACCAACTTATCAGAAATATCAAGAAGGGAGATAATTCAGGGCTTACTTCGATACTGCAATAGCTGTAACTGCGGCAGGATCCTTATTGTCCTTCCGTTCATACGCTGTATGCATTGTAAGTTTACTACGAAAAACAAGCTGCCTTTGCCATCTGAAACCTGGAAAGAGAAGATCAATGTTTGACATGGCATTCATATGTTGTCTTTAAGTCGAATGTCTAAACAAAGTTGCCTTCAGTATTCTATTCCAAAACTGATGTTTGTCCTGTCAACAAAATTTACATAAGTCTGTGAAATTCTGAAATAATTCAGCAAAATGGTATAATCTCGCTCCAAATTGTTAAATCATTGAGTCGTAGCAAACCATGAGGAAACACTGCCATTACACATAATATTTTAGAACTATCTCATCGAAACATGCAATATTCTGAAGTACCATTCGAAAACATTATTCCATGAAATAGTATTCTCAAATCATCAACAAAGGTGACCTTGTACTCGTCAATTAGTCTAAACAACAAATTGGATACATCACAGCAAAGCTGAGACTGGAAAAGACCTCAATGCTTTTGCTCCCATATAAATATTGTTTGATGAGCTGGCAGAAGTAGTCAAATGTGACATTTGACCCTTCACGTTGACTGATGAACACCTGAAAACCATAAGGTGAAGAACTTGATATTATGATACTATGGTGTAAATATCAACCAAAGCTGTTCAGAGGTTCTCAGATATGACAATGTTTCATCAGAAGATGTGATGTGACAGATGAACAAGTGAACGCTACTTGCACCACCATGGCTGAGGATCTAAAACCCACCAATAAAATAGACAATCTAGTGCCTGCTTTGCTTACCTTCACGTAGTGCATTGCGTTTCCGAGGTTTTCTTTTCAGCAGATCTTCCATAGTTTTAGGCGAGTTTTTAACTTCACTGTCTGTTATGACCTCAAATTCTGATGAAGCAGACTTTGACAGATTCGACTCCTCCTTCTCGTCTCCCATTTTTAGGTCAGGATGACTCTGGCTGTAATTGATACCATCAACTGTGAGTGCGGAAAGACAGGGTTCAGACTGACAAGGTATCTGAGTATCACTGATATTGGATGTGTACATAATGTCCAGAGCATCCTGAGCAGGGTCCACCTCTGCTCCATCCGTACTCCCTATATCGTCTGCGCGACACATATCACTGATGCTACTTGTTGTACTTATAACACTGCCATCACGCTCTAAATCACATCTTGAGTCTCGCAAATGTGAGGGAATGTGACTTTCGCTTTCAGCCGATGACCCCATTTCTATTTCACGAGCTGTCAGATCAGGGTCTTTGAAGTCTCTAAGTCTGTCAACTACAGCCCTTGCATCACAGTAACTGGCACAAGATTCTTTTCTTGAAGTTTTTGGAATGTCGACCCCTTCACTGCCCATTGCTTCCACCTGTTCTACTACAGGTGTAGTATCACATCTGTCATCATTTTTGTTGCTTTTATTCTCAATTGGCACTTGTACATACTCAATAGACCACATCTGTGAGGTAGAAAAGTATTAAGTGTGTTGAGTAATCAAAAGGCATTATTTACTTATAAAATAAATTTTCAGATCTTGTCAGATTTATGTTCCCAACTTTCTGATAATTGTTCCCGGATCATCTAGTTATAAATAATTCATACATAATGTAACCCTGTTTTACGAGTACTTGAAATCGAATTTTAAAAAGGTAATCAAAAGATAATCTAAAAAATATAATCAGGGCTTAAACCTGTATACCAATTTAACTTTAAAACAGTATATCACATTTCAGACCCATATACCAAGTACTTCCTTCCAAATATAACTTTGAAATAGTATATCAGATTTCAAACAGCTTGGCCACAGTGGCAAAAAGTAGGCATATATTAAACCACAAAGGGAAGAACAGGATGCAGATTCCTGGTAAATCATGCTAGGATTGTAACACACTAAAACTGAAAATAACTTTCAAATATCTCTCAAAATATTCATTGAATACAATATGACATTAAAGATGCTGAGTTTTAAAGATTTGAAAAAGTGGTTGTAAATCCATAAAGGAAATCCACATACATATTTCAAGGATTTTTAATCTGAACCAGACATATCGAAGAAAATTTGTTCAAAATCATCCACTGAGAAAGACACAATGACAATGAAGCTAAGCAGAATTTAATATCACTATGAATAAGTGAGAGAAGAATGGCTGAAAAGATATGACTACTAACCCTCACAACTCCATCACTGCTTCCTGTCATAATTACATTCCGACTGTCCCACTCAATAATCTGAAAACCGAAGTGCAAATTGGATGAGAAATAGTTTGACAAGGTTACAGAGAACACTTCATAAGATTATTGATACAAATAATTTTAGTAACTGATTTAGAAAGTTTGTGTGTAAAGTTTAACTCTGCAATTATATCACTTGGTATATCATCAATCAAAATTACAAAGGTTTATATAAATAAACATATCCTGTGCTGTAATTATAAACCATGATATTCAATGCTTAAGTCAGAAATAAGATTTAAAATTGACAATTAAAATTCCATAAAAGACCCCTTGGCATGTGTTACCTCACTAGCTTCAGTAATTTTGTGTCGCCATAAGAATGACTATTTCCTTACCTGTGACATGGCCAGGCATAGGATCTGTTGGCTGCGGAGAGTAGCTGTGTTGACACAGGCAATCTCCTCCCCGTTGATGGACCAGATGTAGAGGTAAGTGCCAGCACAGCTAGCAATGTCTCCCTATAAGTATCAATGTTTTTACTTTCAACTTTGAGAATGAAAATTGTCTTTTCGTTTTTAAATACAGCTTCTCATACTACAACATAACCTCTATACTAAAAGATCTCAATGTCAACACTATTTCTAGTTTTAAAAATTTTAACTTGTGTGATATATCGGGCCCCAGGAGAAAGTTATTTGTTTAAGATTGGAGTCACTTTGTCTCCTTCTCCAGAAAATTTTGATACAAAATGTAAAACTTATAGAAAACTTGATCTGATATAATAGCCCAATACTCAGAATTTATCCTGATTACTGTAATGCTTGCAAATTTGTATAAGAATGCATTAGAATAATATTTCTAATATCTTGGATGTGTTCATATATTTCATTAACACACGGCAGCCATATAAATTGCTTATATCACAGGGATGTCAAAATACCGTGAGTTCGTTGATACAGACAGCAGCCACAGGTGCAGAATGTCCCCGTAATTGTCTGACATACTGGAGGCGACTCAAGTCCCAGATAATACAACAGCGGTCACGAGACCCACTCACAATCACATTGTAAGCCTGAGACGAGGTCAGACATGTCACTGTCTCCAGGTGACCAAACAATGGCTGTTTAAGCACCACTTTTTTCTCCTTGGGTCGATTCTCCCAAACATTCACAACCTGTTTGTGCAGGAAAAATATTATTAGCTTTTGCCATGAAAAATTTTGCTGGCTTTGCATTCAAATCGAACTTCCTAATGGGTCTCCACAAGAATAAAAAATCAAGCTCTTTACGTACATAAAAAACTTCCTTTTAGTGCAGTTTTGTGTTTTTTGTTGACCTGTTCTTCATCATTCTCACTAAATTTCAAGTATCATTAGTAATTAATTATCTTGGACCTTTACAGAATACAAAATTGAAACTTAAACATGACTCTGTAGGAATATAGGAGATATTGAACCAAGTGAAGAAGTGTTATAGTATTATGTTGTAAAGAGACACTTACACAACTTGTACCACCTGTGATAAAGATCTTCCCATTAGGACAGGTAGAACACAGTATCTCACCATTGTCCAGCGACTCGTACACACTTATAGCCTGCCAACAAAATATACAACACTCAGGGCATAACAAAACAAACCCACTCCCATGTTATAGAATCAAATTTAGACTAAAGAACTTACAATTAAATCAGTATTTTAAAACAAATATTGATTAAGAAGAAATGGACCTAGCAAAATCTAATCAGTGTAGATTTTGGACAGACACACGCAGTCATGCAGTAAGCATACTAAATCTGACAGATGCTTCTGGTTTATCATCAGTTCACCGAGTCAAAATGTTCAAAATTAGCTGTTAATGTTAAACCAGGACTTCAAGTCCAACAAGACAATAATACAACATTAGTAAGTTCATCCCTATTTTCAATTCAAGCAACCCTTGACCTATCAGTTAAATCCTTTCAATACAGAAGAAAGTCGTCCAATTATTTTTTATTTCTACTTTTCATGCAACAAAATCATCAGGTCTTTCTGACCCCAGTTACCTTTTCTGACTCATAGTTTCCAATCCGAACACTTTGGTCTGCGAATCCCCAAGCCAGATATCGATTATAAGCCGGAGGGATGAGGACTTTATTCTGTTCCACGGCCAGCACATATTTCTCATGTTGTATAATCTGGCCTACAGCACTCTTCAACTCTACAAATTACAAAGTTATCAAATGATTTTCCTTTACTCTAAATAACACGACCCAAACTGACGATTTATCAATGATGTCATTGATACAATCACCGAGAGATCTTTTACAATGTGTACGCTACAATCAGCTGAATAAGTACTGCACCTTTGATAGTCTGTTTTGTAGGTCGGAGATTGTCGACGTTGTGGAAAAACAATTTCTCTGCCATAGCCGCTGGTATAGATCCCATGGGAATGGGGTCCAATAGTTTGATATTCAGGCGTTTCTGAGGGTGGGGCTTCTTAAACAGCTGTAATGAACAAAAAGACACAAGTTTTGCAAAACATTTGGGCTTCAATCTGATTGTAAATAAAATCATAATTATTCTTTTGTCAAGTTATTTGAATAAAATTATTTGTTTTAAATCAGGTTACATCAATAAAATGAAATGTTTTGTTTTTTGCAACAAATTCGTTAATTTTCTGAATTTTACATTACAGTAAACATGACATAAAGCAAATTGCCACAAAAACATTCATACCTTATTATACATATTGAAATCATATAGTTTGAAATAACAAATGGGGATGAAACCCTGGGAAATTTTACCTGCTTGGGAATCTGGCCAAAGTTATTGATGAATCCTATGGTTGCATTTTTCTTGAGAGGATCATCAATGCTGTAGATGTCAACATTCCCCTCGTAGAAGAGATGGTGGAACACATTAATGGCCTCCATGGCAGGCTGGCCCAACTGTTTATAACCAAATATCAGATCTATCCATTCGTGGAGGTGGGCACTCACATAGTCACTCTCCAGGGCCTGGATGTGAGAAATTATTCAATGGATGAAATACCACACAAGAACATCTAAACACCGATTTAATATTGTAATAACCATAACATTTCTTAAATACTGAATCCCTTTAAAGGTTATGAAAAGTGTCAAAGACTGAATTTCACAGATTATAAAGTAAGTTTCTAAAATCCTGTATTCCTTCAGAGTTTGTTCAAGATGTAAAACACTAGATTTCAAAGCAACTAAGTCAGTTCCTATATTCCTGTATCCTTTATGTAATTGTGAAAGATGTAAAACAATAGATTTCATGGATGACTTCCTCAGTTTATAAAGTTCTTCGTCACTTTTAGACTTTGTGAAGGATGTCAAACACTAGATTTACTTGTTTAGTTTGAAGTAATATTTGTGATTTGCACATAGATCCTCCGAAGTACCTACCTCTCTGTAAGCCCTGACAACCTACCACATTGCGAACCCTTATGATCCATTTAAGTGCCTTATCTTCTGTGAGCCCTGGTGATCTACTAGTATCAAGGTGCCTCCCTCTCTGTGAGCCCTAATGATCTACTAGTATCAAGGCACCTACCTCTCTGTGAGCACTAATGATCTACTAGTATCAAGGTGCCTCCCTCTCTGTCAGCCCTAATGATCTACTAGTATCAAGGCACCTACCTCTCTGTGAGCCCTAACGATCTACTAGTATCAAAGTGCCTCCCTCTCTGTGAGCACTAATGATCTACTAGTATCAAGGCGCCTACCTCTCTGTGAGCCCTAATGATCTACTAGTATCAAGGTGCCTCCCTCTCTGTGAGCCCTAATGATCTACTAGTATCAAGGCGCCTACCTCTGTGAGCTCTGATGATCTACCAGTATCAAGGCGCCTACCTCTCTGTGAGCCCTAATGATCTACTAGTATCAAGGCACCTACCTCTCTGTGAGCTCTGATGAACTCCCTTGGATCTTCTCGTGCCCATGGTGGGAGTACTACATCATTCAGCTGAACACCACTCTGTTTGACTCCTATACAAAATAGTGATAGAGTTAAAATATATTTGTACCAGACTGTCTAAAACATAATGATAAATATTCACTATCCGATTGCAGCTATGAAACAAGTTTATCACTCTATGTTAATCATTACTTTTATCCCAGAGTCAAGGTTGTCTAACATGTAACATACAAATGCTTTACTACTGCACAGCTTAATTTTCAATCAACTTTTATCATTTAAGGACTCTTAAAAATACCTTTTTTCCTCAAAAAAGTTAATTTATCTTTAGCAGAATCAAAACCAGTAAACTGTTTCAAGGAAAAACTAAGACAGATAAGTACTTACCAAGATCAAAATTATTTGCATTTTTCAAGAATTCTGGCAGATAAAAGAACTCTGGAATGAGTTCTTTGACATCAGCCATGTTGTTTTTGGAGGCTGATAACCAGTTTTCTTTTACACTATGGAACATCCTGTCTGCTAAATCAAAATGTCCTCCCTGGTAATAAAAAACAGATTAATTTGAGTTAGCAGAATATTTTGGTGAATATCCTGCTACGCGACGGTAATTTACCTAATCAATCATCTTCCGATGTGACTGCAACCTAATTTTCTTCAAAATAATGAAGAAACAATTTACTTGAATTTGCTTGCCATATCATCAACAAACAAATGAATTTATAAACCTGTAAACCTCATCTACAAAATACTAGGTACCTGAAGGCTGAGGAAGTGCTGAGTGAAGGGTTCCATCCTGAGGAGGTAGGATGCTACGATCATAGCTGAGGAGTAGTGGGTCCCATAATGGTAGGGCGGTGTCTCACCTGTACAAGTATAAATATCACAGGCGATCATAATTCAGGTATGCATGTAAATATAGGTGTGATAATTTAATAATTGTATACTTTACACGGTGATTCCAAAAGGATCTTACATTAAGATTTTCGACTAATTTGACATGAAAATAATCAAATATGTCTACCTGTATCTATTAATGATGCGGAGATTCCATATTTAATTTTGCAAGATGAAAACATTCAAACTGTACCAAGTGATCAATCTACATCAATGGAATTACCCCTTATCTATATGATTTACTATCAAAATAAACACTAACCTTGAGGGTCATCCCAATCCTGGTATCTTTTCTTGAACTGTTTAAGTCGTTCAGGTGTCTGGGCCCCCATGGGTTTAGACAGGTCGCGGAATGTCTCAGGCTTGTATAAGTCCAGTTCCTGTGGAGCAAAGTACATGTATTAAACGTAAATCATTGTTGTAGTAATTGGCTGGTGATCTATTATCTTTTCAAATCTGACTGGGAAAACACACCTCAGTTGACTGCAAACTAAATTACCTCAACAGATTTTAGAAAGACATTGTACTGTTATGAGAAATACCTCATTAAATTGTATCTGAAATACATTTCATTGACAGTATCTTGAACAAGGCACATCACTATCAAAATCAAATGGTCTAATTATATTTTAACAACTGAAAATTTCCTGATCTGAATGTAAAAGGTACTTAATACACACGTGCCTAATTACTTCATGTATCAAATTTTCACAATCATATTAGCATACCATGAAAAAGCAAAAATATAATCCCCACAAAAATAACCGCCTTTACATTATACAGTTGATAGGCCTACCTCCGAGTCATAATCGGCAACAATCCAGGGAAACACAGGGTATTGCATCAGGTCGTTGTAGGATCGTCCAGCCAGGGTATTAAGGTGCATGAGATACTGGAAGTTGTTTATCTCTCCTCTCTGTAGGATAGAAGAGTAAAACAGTAGTTAAAATACTGGGATCTACCATTAGAGGTTATTTTTTAAGTTTCCTGAATGTACAAAGATAATGTTAAACATTTTTGAAAGACATTTTCTGGAATTTTTTTTGTTTTTCGTAAGCACTGTCCATAGTCCATTTATTAAATGTAGATCAAATTCAAATTTATGATTAATGGTTCAAATTCCACAAGCTAAATTATACATGGAAAGAAAATTGTAATCATTCACCCAATATTATATATATATATTGTATCAA